CGCAGGAACAATGAGGCAGGACAACCCCTGTGCACTGGAGCTGTGAGACCGCAGGGGGACACAGGGCAACAGTGGCTGTGCCAAAAAACTCTGGCTCCGGTGGAAAGAGCAACGAACGCGGGTGAATCCTGGGACCACAGGTGTATTGCTAGCCAGTCATGAGCCCGGCAGCAAACACCTCAACCTCTCGGAGCCTTTGCTTCCCCCCCCTGATCCAATGATAGCAAATATGAGGCCACTTTGCCCTTTGTTATTTATTGTGGCTTCCATCTAGGAGTCATAATGAAATTCTTAAATCTCCCCAGAACGTCAGTGCCATGGGCTTTGCGTCTGTTCCCTGCGGCACAGCCAGCCCCCAGCACGGAGCTGGCACACAGTGGGGGCCCAGGGAATCTCTGCGGACTCTGTCACAGAAGAAGTGAGGTCCGGGCACTGGCCACGAGAGGCCGCCTCACTTTCAGACCCTGGGGGGGAAGACGGTGGCAGGCAGGGTGAAGTCTTTTCTTCCTTTTCCTTTCCCCACAGCACAGACCAAACTGAGCACTGGACAAAGTGGGGAAGATGAGACGGTTGAGGTCCCCTTCCCCCTAGCCTTTCCCCCCCAACCCCGGCCCCAACTCCATGCTGGTGGAGGGGCCCTGTATCATCCGGGACGAGTCCACGGACCCCCCACACCGCGGCCCTGCCTTCACTTACCACATCTGTGAAATAGGATAAAAATAGTACCCGCCTCACCGGGCTGCCATCCGCACAGCCGGGTCGCGGGTATACAACAGGAGCTGTACACAGCAGGTGCTCAGCAAGGATTAGCTCCTGCCGCTGCTGCTGCTGAACTGAATCACTGGCCCCCACTGCTCCTCCCACTGCACCCAAATGAGACACGCCCCCATTTGGGGTATTGTCCCACTTTGCCAAGTGCCCCCACCTGCCCTGTTCTGTCTGTCTCCATTCACCAACCCAAGGAGCATTGCTGTAGGAATGGGCTCTGCCCCCCGCCCTGCTGTGTGGCCTTTGGAACATCCCTCAGGCTGGGTTTCCAGAGATATTTCCTCTGGCTTAGAAGATTGTCAGAGCTAAATGGAATCACAGGCAGAAAGTGCTTTGAGGAGCTCAAGGGGCTCATCGCTGGAAGATTCTTACAAGAGGGGACAGCAGGGGCACGATGCAACTTGCCCAGGGTCTGGTGCAAAGATAGCTGAGGCCAGACATGGGCTTCCTGCGCCTCTCTGGTCCATCTGGCTGTCACACCGTGCCCACCCTGAGCACGTCTCACCCCTCATCCTGCAAGGGAGGGGCCAAGTCTACAGGCATTTCCTTGGGGGATGAACCACAAGTCCTCTCTCTCCAAAAACATGGCTCCATTCTCAGCCAGGTACACTGAAGGCCAGAGGGGGAAAGCCACCAAATCCCTGGGACAATCACGAGCCGGGAAAATGTATCTAGGAAGACCCAGGAGAAGACCCCCACCCCCAGTCGCCCATAACACCCAGAAAAATGACGACCTTCTAGTGCAGTATGATGGCCGTAGGAAATGCTCTCAAACAGCTTTCTACCCACCACCAGAAACCCCATCTGACTTCGCCCTCTGCCTTACGCCACTGTCCTCCTTTGTCCCAACGCAGCCCTCCCCCTCCTCATCTCCCTTCCCCACACCAGCCCAGCCCTTGAGCCATTTCACTCCGGGGTCTTTCTCTGCCAGCAGGTGGAAGGCAGGACGGCCCGAGGCCAAGGGAAAGGACAGGGATCCAGCCACCAGAAGTCCAGCTGTCCTGTTCCTCCACTTCAGGCTGGGGTGGCACTCAGGGCCCTCTGAGGCCTGGAAAGGGGCACAGAAGGAAGTCCCCACTTGGTAGCAGCAAACCCCAGGGTCAGGACTGGTCGGGGCTCCACAGTGGCTGCCTCCCCCTGCTCTTCCCTCCTGGGGCCCCTCCCTGCCCTTGCCAGGCGCTTACTCTGAGGTGTAGGTGGTCGGTCCAGGAGCCGATGACCTTGTACTCAGCTGAGCCATTGCGCAACTGGTACTGGTAAATGTCGTAGCGCCCGGGGGCATCTCCATTCTCATTGAAGGTCACGGGGTTCCCGGCGATGCCTGTAGGGGCCGGGGAGTGTTACGCACTCAGTGTCTTGGCTGAGCTTTTACTAAGAAGCAGGGAGGATCACGAGCCTAGGGCAGAGACACCTCTGGGGAGGCCCCTGTGTGGAACATCTTGAGAGGTTACACCCCCTGGAAACATCTGAGGAGACACCCCCCACCCCGCTACTCTCCTACCCCCACAGAACCCTGGGAGCCCTTCCCCTGGCTGCATGGCCCAGGACACCCACCTGAGAAGTTGACGTTGCGGATGTACTTGAGCAGCTGGGTGCCGTCCACGGGATCCATGCGTGGGCAGAGCCCCACGCGGCCCGGACACAGGTCACGGTGCATGGCGTGCAGCGCGTGGCCCATGGCATACACAGCATCAATCACAAACTGCACCTTCCCCTCCTGCTCATATGCCGAGTCCTGCCCAATGCGCTCTCGGTCTGCAACGGGACAGCCAGAGTGGGGCGTCCGTGAGGCCCAGCATCCTCACAGACCATGTGGTGGGAACCAGAGCGGCTCCCCGGGGCCAACAGAGGTGACGCAGCCCTTCCCTGCACACCTAGGCCTCCTGGCTCCTAGCCCAGCGCTTGCTCTATCACCCAAGAGATGGTCTTATGGAAGCACCTGGGGGACGATCCCAAAAAGTGAAGCGGAGGGTCCACTGCCCTCGCCACCCTACTGCCAGACCGTGCGCCCTGAAGCCCCAGGACAGCCAGGACAGGCCCGCACGTCCTGATCACCCTCAGAAGGCAGTCAGCCAGGGGGTCTCCCTGTGGCTGCGGAGCCTGCCTGACGTCCCCCAGCCTGGCCTAGACTAATCACGCCAGCGGCTGGCCCTCGCCCAGGCTGGGGATCGCCAGAACAAGAGCTATGACAGTGAGGGCAGCTCAACCATGGACAGCCACTCCAGCCAGGGGACGCTGCCCCCGGCACAGGATACAGATGGGAAAACTGAAGCCCAGAAAACATGAGAGCCTGGCTACGGATCCTTCAGGGTTCGGGACCCAGGCCACCTGGTGCCCCCTCGATGGTTTCCAGTGGCCCCAGACACCAGAAGTCACCATCATCCCTCCCTAGGGCACCGTGGCCTTAGGGGTCCGGTCTCCCATCCTCACCCCCTAGGCCCTGGGCCCTGTGCAAGCTCCTTGGCTGCCTGAGGCTTCAGTGTCCTTTCAGTACAAAGGGGATCATAATCCTGCCCCACAGAGGCTTATATGAGATGAGGCACGGAAAACACTTGGCACTGAGTAGGTGACTAATCCACATTATCATTGTGCTAAATTGTCAGAATGGGGGGCGGAGGGGTTCTGAGGTGGGCAACAGAGGACCTTAGGCCAGAGCAGGCCAAGAAGGCTTTCTGGAGGAGGAGGCGCTTCCTAGCCTGGGCCAGAGTAACAATCAGACGATCCGAATCACTTCTAGTGAGCATCTGCTCTGTGCTAGGCATTGTTCTAAGCTCTTTATGCATAATAACTCACCGAATTCTCACAAGGGGGCTATGAGGTGAGTAATTGTCCCCATGGTTCCCCACAGGAAAGCCCAGCAATGTCCCAGAACCACAAAGTGCTGAACCTGAACTCAGTTACTCCAGCTCCAAGCCTGCGCACCACTCTCGGCCTGACAGATAGTAAGAGCGGCATCAGGGGGACAGGAAAGCAGGGAGGGGAGAGGAAGGGGCTGGAGGATGCAGAGTGGAGGCAGGGAGGGGATGGGCAGAATGCTAGAGAAGGCTGGCTTCCGCTCCTGAGGCCACAGCCCCTGCCGCATCACGGCCTGAGACTTCCTCCCTGGAGACCAGGACAGAGACATTAACCCTCGCAAGCCACGCCTCCCATCCCCTGCCACATACACCCCTGCCTCCCTGCTAGCGGGCCTCCCATGGGCATCACTTGCAGAGGTGATTCCCCAGGGGCAGAAGTGGCTGCACCCCAGCCTAGCCCCACGGGCCACAGCTTGGGCCTCCCATGTCTATTGTGCGGGGGGCCAGGTAGGGCTGGGGCAGCGCCGGGCCCTGCTCCCCTGGGAACTCCAGGGGTCCCCACGCCCATCCCTCCGCCTTGGACACCTCAGAGACAGACACAGGGTACAGAGAAACCCACTGCTGTCCCCGTGGGCTCTCCACCATCTAATCCCCTCCCACCCGGAGGACGGTCGCTGCCCCACCAGGATGTGGGGATGACCGGGCTGCACTTCTGTGTCCCTTCAATTGGCCGGACCAGGTGGCTGGGACCCCACCCCATCCTCAGCCTAGCTCAGGGCTGATACTCCCCACCTGCTGAGTGGATGACAGAAATCATGGGATCCCAATGCTAGGAATGGCAGGACCAAAGGGGTCGTCTGCTCCAATTCTGTCATTTTACAGATGAGAAAACTGAGGCCTTGAGAGGAAAGGCCCAGGTCACATGGCCAGTGGGCCAGGCCTCTTGATGATAAGATGAGTGTCCCCAGCTATAGCCCCTCTCCCCGCCTCCCCCCCCATTCCAGACTGTATTCGACCTGAGGCCTCAGGAGTCCCCAGCTAACCCCTTGGGTTCCTGCGTTTTTAGCCAGTAGACGGTCACTGTGCCCTACCTGCCCAGGGCTCCCACAGAGCTGGTGGCACATTTCATATCCCTGCCTCAGCCACCATGACCCTGTGACCAAGGGCAGAACCTGATTCCAGTTACCCCAACCACAGGGTCAGAGATCAAGAGTCACCAGTACTCAGACTGGACAGTTTGAGGGCAGATGCCCAGTTGACTCTGGGGACACTGTTCAGTCCTGACAGGCCCACAGCTCCTACCGTGTGGCCTCAGGACTGGGGGCAGGGTGGACCTCGAAGCTGCCTCCCTGGCTCTCTCCTGGTCAGCTAAGGCCCTCACTGTCCACTGTCACTGCCCTGCATTTGCAGGAGACTGGACTCGAAGTCCAGACCATCTGGGCTAGAACCCTAGCTCTCAGACTTCCGTTCCCTCATCTGCAAAACGAGGATAATGATGGTACTTACCTCAGAGGGTCAGGATAGGGTCCCTATGAGAATTAGCAGGTTAATACTCACAAGACCTAAAGAGAGGCCTGGTGTTCTGCCAAGTGCTACAGAGGTTTGCCCAACACCGGAGGACACAAAGAGGTGTAAGTCCATCCCTGCCTCGGAGCTCCTGGGCCAGCAGAGTTTTGCTAATAGACGGCATTATTTCTAGGCCAAGGCACAAACAGACGGGAATACACACGAAAGACAAATTCTCCAGCTTCACCAGCCTGCCCTCTTGTCTGAGTGTCTGATCACAAAGTTCTGAAGACCAGGAGAGACGCAGAAGGGACAATCCTGTCCCGAAAGGGCAATAGAGGGAGGGGGCTGGGGCAGGGTTGCATGGAAAGCCCCAGCCCTGGACCCCACCCAGCCCCAGGTCCTGCTCCCCTCGGCCTGAGGAATGGAAAACATAAAACACCACTCAACAAACCCGGACTCCCATCACACCCTCATTTCTTATGGGTGAGAGACTGAATTATCAACCACGATGGAGGGGAGGCTGTGGCCGCTGCAGAGAGCAGGCAGCTCTCTGCCAAAGCCAAGGACACACTGGGCTGAGGGACCCCGGCTGCACCTCCCCACCTGAGCTACCCTCAGCCTCTCCTCTCTCCTCCTCCAGGGGTCCCTCCTCACTGGGGCAGGGGAGGAATGAAGTATCCATTCCTGGGCCTCTTGGGTCCAGGACCAAGTGCTCTCGCTGGGATCAAGAGCCACCTGCACGGACACCAGACTGGGGAAGACCCTCCCCAGGAGAGTCCGCCTCTGCCTGGGGAAGCTTCTGCGGGAAGGGGTCTGGGATCCTGTGGGCTCTCAGGAGCCCATCAGTGCTGCCCCTCCAGAATCTCCACCCCAGAGTTGTCAAAGGGCCAGCCATGCACTTCCAGAGACTTCTCCACACACTTTCGTCACATCCTTGACTTTTATCTCAAATCCAGCCCCAATTACAGATGAGAAAACAGGTCCGGCAAGGACCTTTATTCACAAGGGAACACCAGGTCTTGAGCGCACCCTCTACGACACCTCTCGAACCCCAAGGGCCCTTCTCCTGAGCTCCTCAGGAAGCAACAATGACAGAGCCTAAGTGGCTAACAGTGCTGGGGGCGGGGGGTGGACAGGAATCATAAACACAAGTTAAACAAGGACAAGTGCTCTGTCCTGAATGTTTGACGCTGTGCCCATAACCAGCACGGCTCCCCGCACACCTCCTGATTCCTCAGCAAATAACCCTACGGCATGGCTGGTGCTCACCGAGAGCCTTCACACGCCTGGCATTTTCTCTTCCCCGAGGGAGGCAGGCGGAACTGGCCCCCTCACAGAGGACGTAACTGAGGCTTGCAAGTGGTCAAGCGATGTATCCAGAATCTTACAGGAACCCTGGTAACTAGCACATGGGCATACACACCTGGGGACTGGCCTGGCTGGTAAGCGGCAGAGCTGGGATTTGAACCTGGATCTCTCTAGCTCCATAGGGGTTTCCCCCACCCTGAACAGTGCCTCCCCTTCTTCTCCCTCCATCCAGTCCCTGGTCTGCCTCCTTCCCTCCCTCTGGGGCCCAGGGGTCAAGGATCCCTGTCTCCAGGGCTAGAGGAGGTGGTGGCCGTGGAGAGAAGGGGGAGTCGGGAAATCCCCTCACGGATGGGCGGGACCCCCAGGCCCAGGCAGTTCCGGAAGGAAGCATGACACACATTTCTGAGAGCTATCGGAAGAGACAAATCCCAGACACATGGTGGCAATGACAGCAGCAACAGTCTGAAGATGTCCTAATTGTGTCCCCGGGTACAGTGAGCCAGAGATGCGTTTGGCTCTGCCACGGGTGACAGCCAGCCGGGAAAGCATCGGGAGAGGATTTTCTCCGTCAAAACCCTGCAGCGATGGTTACTACGGTGACTGCAGCCTTTGTCTGCAGGTTGTAAATTGTAATTGAAATGAGTTTTCAAGGTTGAAATAATCAGAGTTCCTCCTCATCTCCCCCATCACCTCCCCACAACTCACCCCACCTAACTGCAACCCTCCTCCCTCGCTCGCGCGCCACGCATTCTTGAAGCGGCTCCCTCACGTAAAGGAATACAAAATCAGTTACGTGTATACTCGCGCATGTACACGTCTACGCGTGCACCTGCATGCACTGATACACAAGGTCTATACACACACCCGTGTTCAAACACATATAAACACAGGTAACATATATATCGCGTGGCACTCATCCAGAGTCACCAACGGATTCACCCACTGTTGGGCCAAGAAGCCCGCAAGTGTTTTCTTTGGGAGGTGACACCCGGAAGCACCAGCAGCGGGTAGGAACCAGAAATGGGGAAGGGAGGCAGCTGATACCGGGTGGGCTCAACCCCGCTGGGGACCTTCGGGACACTGCGTCACAGACACAGCGTTGCCCATCGGAGGAGACAAACACTCTAGCTCCTGCCAATCTTG